TCCCGATCTACACGCCCCCCCCCCTATTTTGTATTTTATAGACTTCACCGTTTCGATTCCTGACTTACCGCCCGCTCCCAAGTGCTGGATTAAGCGTGAAGGCCTTCAAGCCAAGCATAAGTTAAGCAAGGGCAAAGATACCCAAATGGATCCATCCCATCCCATCCACAATTAAACTAAGGAGAGAATCACTTGAGCTGCTTCCAAAGAATGTTAAGTAAACAGATTTTATTCAATCTTTCCTAGATTTTATATGAATACTTGTTATTTAATGTGGTAGTTACATTACAGTTTTACTGTATGAGCGATAGAACATTTAGTGAATCTGCCGGGCGTGGTGGCTCACGCCTGTAATCCCAGCACTTCGGGTGGCCGAGGCGGGTGGATCACGAGGTCAAGAGATCCAGACCATCCTGGCCAACATGGTGAAACCCCGTCTCTACTAAAAATACAAAAATTAGCTGGGTGCGGTGGCACACACCTGTAGTCCCAGCTGCTCAGGAGGCTGAGGCAGAAGAACTGCTTGAACCTGGGAGGTAGAGGTTGCAATGAACCAAGATCGCGCCACTGCACTCCAGCCTGGTGACAGAGCGAGACTCCATCTCAAAAAAAAAAAAGGAAAAAAAAGAATGTTTGGTGAATCAGATTAACAAACCGGAAATGATCATACCCTCTAAGACACTCTTCTAGAAGCACACTAGTCCCACTGACTCATGTTACAAATTCAAGTTGGCATCCAACTAATTTGTACAATGTGTTATCCTGATGTTTCTGCAATTATACCACCTGAAGAGGGTCCCTGTCAGTCTCTGATAGGATAATATTTATCTTATTCTCCAAGTGAGAACCCAGCATATCTCGAAGGTCAGAAAGAAAGCCTCGTTCAGTGTTGCTATGTTCACAGAGGATGACATTTATTCCTTGGGAAGCAGCATCCAAAATATCATGATGGGACATCTCACCTACCAAAAAGGAAACAGCAAATTCTTAAATGCTAGATATGGAATCTGTGGAATGAGGAAACACAAAAGCAGAAATACCAAGTTTATATTCTATATAAAGTGAATGTAATACAGCAGAACTGTTATAAATCTAGAAAGTACTGTACAGTTTTCTTTTATGTCCTCCAACTTAAAAACAGAGAAAGGTCTGGGCACGGTGGTTCACGCCTGTAATCCCAGCACTTTGGGAAGCCTAGGCAGGGGGGTCACCTGAGCTAAGGAGTTCCAGACCAGCCTAGCCAACATGGTGAAACTCCATCTGTACTAAAAACACAAAAATTAGCTGGGTGTGCTGGCGTGCGCCTGTAATCCCAGCTACTCAGGAGGCTGAGGCGGGTGAATTGCTTCAGTATGGGGGCTGGAGGTTGCAGTGAGCCGAGATTGCACCACTGCACTTCAACCTGGGTGACAGAGCAAGACTCTGTCTTGAAAATATAATAAAATAAAAATAAAAGCCATCCCATTGAGAATTCCAACTTCTTTTTCCTTGGCAGACCCCAAGGCAATCGTCCAATCCAACATATCTGGCCAGAACCAGATCTGTAAACACCCATTTTACTGTGTTTCCACCGTAAAAAGAATGACCACTGCTAAGTAAAATGAGGCCTTCAGAAAATCTGCCTCTTATGTAATAAATACCTCTGGAGGACATTCTGTGTATACTGCCCAGCAGACTTAGGCTTTGTAAGCACTAGTATTTCTGTCGTCAACTTAGTCTAATATACAAGGATGAAATGAATTTAAGATTATTTCCAGATTAAAACAAAGTATTTTTCTTTGACTTAAGCAAAATCCCTAGAAACTCTGGAGGGAATCTCATCTGTTGTGAAAAGATTTGGGGAAAACTCAAATATTCTGAATTTTTAATTTATTTATATTTGTATTTATTTTTTTAGATGGAGTTTTGCCCTATTGCCCAGGCTGGAGTGCAATAGCATAATCTCAGCTCACTGCAACCTCTGCCTCCTGGGTTCAAGTGATTCTCCTGCCTCAGCCTCTCGAGTAGCTGGAATTACAGGCACCCACCATCAAGCCTGGCTAATTTTTGTATTTTTAGTAGAGACGGGGTTTTGCCATGTTGGCCAGGCTGGTCTCGAACTCCTGGGCTCAAGTGATCTGCCCGCCTCGGCCTCCCAAAGTGCTGGGATTACAGGTGTGAGCCACCGTGTCCAGCCTAATATTCTGAATTTTTAAAAATGCAGTTTGTGAATTTGATGACTTGTAATTTAAGAGCAAAACTGCACTGTGTACAATTTGGTTTGTTCTTTAGAAAGTACAATTTTGAACTGTATTTAGAGACAGAAGGGCATACAAATTTAAGAAAAAAAAGGTTCTTAGAAAAAAAATTGAGTTTTTTCTCTAATTTTCCCACAAGAAAACATCTGTAAGTAAAAAATAAGTTTTCTTAATTCCAGAATTTTTCAGTTCCCCACACTCTTCTAATAAGTGTCATCTCATTATAAGGAATAATTTTTATTCAAGCACCTTTTAAAACATCTTAATCTATAATAGTAAAAGTAAAAAGCAAGAAAAAGACACTAAGATGACCCAGTTGGAAGCCTTGTTTTAGGAAAGATAAGTCTGGCTGCCTGTACTGTGACAAACTCATTGGCCGGAGAAGGCATGAAAGGGGGGAAATCTGTGAAGACCCTGCAATAATTGCTGAAGCCAACGGAAAGAAAAGCTTGGCCCAGGATGGCAGCTTGGGAAAGGAAAAGCAAATGGAGAATGAAATGACAAATGAGAGAACTTACATTTGCAAGGAGCAGGCTCCCCATCTGCTGGTCTTACAGGGTGTTACCCTTAACAACCTAATACAACGAGAACACGGCCTCAGACTCACAGGGAGCGTGATGAAGTTCAGCAGAGGTCCTTTAGGAGGGGCTTCGCATCTCTGAAGTTACACTCAAAAGCAATGCCTCACAGACCAGAGACATCTAATGCTAGCCAGGTAATATTTTCTTTTTCTCCCCACAGCGAGATAGGAAGGACATTTTAACATTTTGGAACTGCCTGAATTTATTTTATGAACATATCATTATATTTTATCACTTTTTTTAAAAACTAGTTTTTAAAAAAGTATTTATGAGGAAATAGATACCCCAAATTGAGCGAGAAGCACAAAACAAAGAGCCTATACTCTTTTAAAAATGTCAGTGTTATGAAGACAAAGCTGAGGAACTATTCCAGACTGAAGGAGACTAACAACAACTAAATGCAATGTGAGATCATGGGCTGGATATGGATCAGAAAAAGAAATACTATAAACTTTTATCAACTGGAAAAATGTGAATATGGACTGTATATCAAGTAAATGTTTTAACAATATTAAATTCCCTCATTTGATAATTGTTCTATAGACTTAGAATGTCTTTGTTCTTAGAAGACTATACACTGAAATATTGAGAGGTAAAGAAATTGTCATGTCTGCAATCGATTTCTAAAATGGTCCTGGGGGAAATACATCTATATATATATATATAAAAAAAAAATTTTAACTTGTATATTATATATTATATATCTATATATGCACACACAAATGTATACAGACACATATATAATATGTACATAAAGAATGTACAAATATGGCAGAATATAACCATTAGTAACCAAGGTGAAGAGCACATAGGAATTCATTGTACTATTCTTGCAACTTTTGCATAGGTCTGAAATTCCTTCTAAGTAAAATGCTAAAATGAATTTTAAAATAGCCAGACACAATGCTGTAAGATATTCATATTGAAATTTCACTTTAATCTGGTAGAAATTTAAGGACTTACAAAAATCTTTTATCTTCAGAAGAATGGAAAACAGGTAATAGTCACATACATGTTTTTTTTTTTTAATCAATTTATTGGTTTAGAGCAGTTCCATCAGGCTTTCTCAGATGCTGCTCCTTGGTACTTCGGGATGTGACAATGCTTTCAGTGCAGCAGCCTTTGTAAGAGAGTGTGCTACACAACAAGGCATGGGTGTGGGAGGCAAGGGAAGCATGGAAGTAGCCAAAGGAATGGCCAGAGGGCTAAGAGTCTAGAGCCTGGTCCTCGAAGTGGGAAAAGTAATTCTTTAACTCATTCTCTCCTAACCCTAAGAAGGAGGAGGTAAACAAACTGGCAACCCATTAAAATGTCTTCAAATCCTTTGCAGGTATAATGGGCCATGTTTGGTCACATTCCTGAGTAGTAACTACGTGAAGTAATTCTTTCAATAAAAATTAGCCAGGACCTATTAGGTAGTATCCTTAAGGAGAGAGTGTAAGGCCCAGGAGCCAATTACTGTCCAACAGAAGTGCACACTGGAGATCAAGGACAAAGTGACAGGGACCCACAAGAGGCAGAAGCAGGACAGTGTCAGAGAAGGCTTCTCAGAGGGGGTGCTCACTTATCACAAGAAGAACAAGGAAAAGGCATTCTAACCAAAGAAAACAGCATATGCAAAGGGTACAAGAAAGAGGATGCAATGTTCAGGCTCTACCAGACAGATGAAGGAAATCACTGAAGTCTTTTTAGTCAAGACCATCAAATACGCACTGTGAAAAGTTAATTTCAGGAGAATATATGGAAGATAACATTAGAGGGTTGATGCTGTACTTCAAGTAGGAGACACTGCCTGGACAGATAAGGGGGAAGATTCTAGAAAGATTTGGGAGCTTGAATTGATAGGAATTGATGATTGGCTTTAGGCTAAGAGGAACCATTTCCTAGCTAAGGTGACAGGGTAGAAAGTATCCCACTGACGTGAAATCTGAGAGGTTTGGGACAGTTTAGGAAGAATGTAGGTAAAATAAATGCTGACCATTAATTTTTGAGATAATAAATTGTTCAATGATTTCATCCCTCCACAAAGAACGCAGTATGTCCCAATTCTGTTGTAGTTTCTGTTTAGTTCAAGTTTACAAAACATTAATTAGGTATCATCTATGTGCCAGGTACTGTCCTAAAATCTGCCATTTTTGATTTTGCAAAAAATAAACCAAGAGAGATCCAAAGTCTGTCCTACCTGTGAGGTAAAGGTCAGCCTTGACACCCTGCAGAACGCCGCTCCCAGAACCAGCACACAGGGCCACAACTTTGACTTGAGACTCTTTAAGACAAAGGAAACAAGAGACCAATACTTTACAATTCCCTTTCTTTTTACTATTATAATTTGTAGCAAGAATCCTAAACATAATACAGATTTTACTCCTGGTCTCATCACGAGTATACGAATTGTTCTTTCTGCATGTAAAAAAAAAAAACATGTTTTAATATAAGCAAACAGGTCATTCTTTTGATATTGCATAGCTAACCCAAGGTACAGTTATTATTCCTTTTTTTTTTTTAACTAACAACCTTTGTGAATTGCACAAAATATGGAACAATGCACAAATTTGCGTGTAATCTTTGCATAGGCGCCATGCTAATCTATATCATCCAATTTTTAGTATATGTGCTGCTGAAGGGAGTACCGTTATTCCTTTGACATGGCTGCACACTCACAAACCACTGAATAGTACTAATGGTGCAGCTCCAGGCAGTACCGCAACGTTGCTGGGTAAAGTAATCTCACCTGGGTCTTCAGACAACAGTGAGAGGTAGGCAAGTACTATCTCTATTCTCAGGGGAGGAAGCTAAGGAACTAAAAGGACTAGTGAGAAAGAGGAATGCTACGAATGGAGTTGGCACATATTTTTAAATATACTATTTATTCTCAAAAAGCATCCTCTGAAAAGTGAAATAACCGCAACTTTTGAACCAAAATCCAAGTATTTAGCACTTGGGTTTCTAAAATGGACACTTCTTCAGTGGTCACTCCAGTTCAGCAGCACGGTATCCCAAAGATGGGGCTTTGGAGTTATTTTGGAAGTCAAATCCCACCTCTGCTATCCATTTTCTTTGGACACTTAACTCCCTTGGGTTGTTTGATCTAACTGGACTTTTGCATAAGTTACTCATATGGTTTGGCTCTGTGTCCCCATAATTCCCACGGGTCCAGGGCAGGACCAGGTGGAGGTAATTGGGTCATGGGGGCAGTTCCCCCATGCTGTTCTCGTGATAACGCGTGAGTCTTATGAGATGTGATGGTTTCATAAGCGTCTGGCATTTCCCTCGCTTGCACTCATTCTCTCTTCTGCCACCCTGAGAAGAGGTGCCTTCCGCCATGATTGTAAGTTTTCTGTGGCCTCCCCAGCCATGCAGAACAATTAAACCTCTTTTCTTTATAAATTAAACCTCTTTTCTTTATAAATTAAAGAGTCAATTAAACCTCTTTTCTTTATAAATTACCCAGACTTGGGCATTTCTTCATAGCAGTGTGAGAACGAACTAATACAGTTACTTATCTCTCTGAACCAAAACTGTTCACCTATAACATAGGAGAAATAGTACCAACCACAAAGCTAACAAGAGCTAGCACTTTAACTATACTTAATGTGAGCCAGTCACTGTGCCATGTCACATGGATTATACTACCACCTTCTGAGTTAGGTTTTATTATTAATGCAGTTTTTACCAATGAGACTACTGGGACACAGAGGGCATAAACAACTTGTCAAAGACAAGCAGCAAACAGAGAGGACAGACAAATCTGAAGCCAGGTTTGTCTGAGCTCAGAATCTATACCTATAACCACTGTGCCCCACTGCTTTTGCCAGTGGGAGCTCACACACTCAGGACAGACAATCAGTACAGTGCTAGGTTCACTGCAGGTGTTGAACAAATGTCTGTTCACTCTTTTTGTTCTCAAAAGTACCGAGAAAGGCCAGAAGAAAAAATACAAGACTTAGAAACTGCAATGGATCAGATCACTCAGTGGCACCTCACTAGAAAATATTACCAGTCTTGTAAGTGCAAAATTTATGTTGTAATTGTAGCAATCGTGATTCCAGCTCTCCTCCTGACATATGGTAAGACTGCACTTTATGCCTCCCTTGGTTGTATTGGATAACATGACTAAATCTGGAAAATAAGTTGAGCAGAAATGAACATGTTTCCTGGAATTTTGAACTGATGGTTTAAGACCCTGCAAAACTCTCTCCCTCTGCAACAACAACCAGTCTACAATGGCCAGACTTCCTAAAATAACCAACTTGAAATGAACACATAGCATGACAGAGAAATAAATCTCATTGATTAGGCCAATGAGATGTACTCCACAGCAGGACCTGGCCTACCCTAATCAATAAAGTAAACCAATGATCTCCTATGAGCTGCTAACACATTCTCTATCACATATTAATACAATCAAGAGTTTCAACCTTTGTCCAATGTTAACAGTAGGCATACTGGATAAATGAAGGAGCAATATTTACCTAAGGTTCTCCCCACCCCAAGGGCTAAGCGAATATGAGATAGTTTTAGGTGTCTTTTGATTCGATCAATCATGGTTGCCAGGGAGACAGACTCATCCAGTGTGCATAAGCGTCCCATTCCAGTATGTAGAAGCAAAGGCTGAGGAGAAACAGAAGTTAGAAACGGTGTCCACTGTCAGTCCTAAAACAACAAATGCTAAAATCAATCAGTATGCACACTGTGAGGTTACTACAGCAAGCTCCAGGCTAAATGTGGGGACACAAACCTGACAAAATCATTCTTCTAGGAGCTCACAGTTTCCTAAGAAGGCAGATGTTTAAATCAATAATCAGGCCAGGCACGATGGCTCATGCCTATAATCCTAGCACTTTGGGAGGCTGAGGTGGGTGGATTGTTTGAGCTCAGGAGTTTGAGAACAGCCTGGGCAACATAGTGAGACTTGATCTCCATTAAAAAATCCAAAAATTAGCCAGGCATGGTGGCGTGCACCTGCACTCCCAGCTTCTTGGGAGGCTGAATGGGAGGTGGGCTTGAGCTACCCAAGAGGCAGAGGTGAGCTGAGATTATACCACCGCACTCCAGCCTGGGGACAGAGCCAGACCCTGCCTCAAAAATATATTAATTAATTAAACAAAATAATAAAACTGTTTAAATTCAAGGTAGGTTCTACAGTTGCAGCAGCACAAGGAATGACAAACTAAATGAGCTGTGACTTGGGAGGCTTGGGGAGTACTTGAAGGACTCAGGTCTTAGAGAAAACCCTGAAAGAGTTAAAAAGGGGGTAATAAAAAAGTTTGAAAGGGCAGTGATGTCAAGTGCAGTGTGGCAGGACAGAGGTACGATGAGATGAAGAAAGGCACTCTAAACAGAGAGAACATGGACAAAGGTGCCAAAGACTTGAGAGAACACACTGTGGGGGTAGATCCAAACGAAGACAGTATGGCTACTGTGCAGAGCACGTGCTGTGGAAGGAGAGGAGGCTGGAGGCCCAGGCTGTAGCAGATCATTAAGGGCTTCCGACACCATGCTAAAGAGCCTGGACTGCCTCCTAGGTGCTCGGTGAGACAACTCTCATCACAGAAAATGAGAGTTTCAACTCCTGTGGTGGCAGAGCCAATACAGAGGAGAAACACTGTATAGATATGAGGCCAGAATCAGCAGGGCTTGGAGTCAAGGAGGAGTATGAAAACTTGGAAACTAAAGTAGATAATGATACTGAAATATGAAATATATATTTAAAAAAGGGGGGGGGCACAGGGATAAAGTATTTGGATATATTGAATTTGAAATACTTGTGGGCTCTGTAAGGGCAAAACATCCAGAAAGTAGTTGAAAATATGGATTCTTGTCATTTTTTCCCTTAAGAAAGCATTCTAAGCCAAAAAGTAAAGATAGGAATCATCATCATACAAATGGCTATCAAGTGAAAGAGTGAATGACATGGTCCAGGCAGAGGGTATAAAATAAAGAGAGAGCAAACCTGTAACCAAATCTGTAACCCTGAAGAAGTACCACTATTTTCCTATTCCTGGAATGTCTCCCTTTCTCAATTACTTCCTAGAGAATATTATGCTCTCATTGCCATTTTGTACTTTAGGTAACAGTGAATGGGCCGGGCGCGGTGGCTCAAGCCTGTAATCCCAGCACTTTGGGAGGCCGAGACAGGCGGATCACGAGGTCAGGAGTTCGAGACCATCCTGGCTAACACGGTGAAACCCCGTCTCTACTAAAAAATACAAAAAACTAGCCGGGCGAGGTGGTGGGCGCCTGTAGTCCCGGCTACTCGGGAGGCTGAGGCAGGAGAATGGCGTAAAAACCCGGGAGGCGGAGCTTGCAGTGAGCTGAGATCCGGCCACTGCACTCCACCCTGGGCGACATAGCGAGACTCTGTCTCAAAAAAAAAAAAACAGTGAATGGCCTGTTGATCTAATAATTTACAAATGAATTTGCTGAAGAAAAATGCAAAGTAATGATACTTATCAAACTGTACACATCAAATATGTACAATTCTGAGTATATCAGTTATACCTCAATAAAGCTGAAAATGCACAGTATTTTAAGATCAAACATAAAATATTTTTATTACCTTCTCCAGCGACAGAATTTCTGTCTTCTGATAAAGTTGTTTGTTCTGAGAAAGAAAATCTACCACCTGCATCAAAGCCTTCTGAGTACAATTCAGACTAATCCGTGTTTGTTCCTCATTATCAAACCTAGGGGGGAAAAATCACTCCATTTAGGCCAAATATAGCCAAAATGTATTTTACATAATCCACAGTTTACAAACTTACTATAATAGGAGATTAGATTTATGTAGAACTAAGGATTTAACCAACAGAACCCATTTAATCTGAAACCAATCCATTTTCTAGAATAGCATTTCTCTAAGTCTACTATGCATCAGAATCACCTGGAGAATTATTAAAACACAGATTGCTGGGTCCTACCCCTGGAGTTTTTGATTCATTATATCTAAGTGGGGGTCTGAGAGTTTACCTTTCTAACAAGTTCCAGGTGATGCTGATATTGCTGTTCCAGAGACCTCACTTTGAAACCACTGTTCAAGAACTGTTCTCAATCCTGATTGTGCATCAGAAATTTCCTGGCCGGGCGCGGTGGCTCACACCTGTAATCCCAGCATTTTGGGAGGCCAAGGTGGGCGGATCACTTGAGCCCAGGAGTTCAAGACCAGCCTGGGCAACATAGCAGGACCCCATTTTATTTTTTTATTAAAAAATTAAAGTTAAAAAAAAAAAAAAGGCCAGGCACAGTGGTTCACACCTGTAATCCCAGCACTTTGGGAGGCCGAGGTAGGTGGATCACCTGAGATCAGGAGTTCAAGACCAGCCTGGCCAACATGGTGAAACCCCATCTCCACCAAAAATACAAAAAAAAATTAGCCGGGCGTGGTGGGGGGTGCCTGTAGTCCCAGCCACTCCCCAGTGGCTGAGGCAGGAGAATCACTTGGACCTGGGAGGCAGAGGTTACAGTGAGCCGAGATTACGCCACTGCACTCCACTCTGGGCAACAGAGTAAGACACTGTCTTAAAAAAAAAAAAAAAAATTCCTTCTAGCTTCTTAAAATAACAGGTGCTGGATCCTTCCACAGAACCAGTGAAACAGAACATCTATGAATGGGGCTGGGGCAAACTGAATTTTTTTAAAGCCTTAGAGATAATTTTAAAACATTGAATTTGAGAATGTCTTGGACAGATTCTCAGGCAAACTCCATTCTAATTACAAGATCTGAGATGAATACAAAAATCTGCATTTTAAATAAGCACCTGATTAACAATCATGCAGGGGGTCCTTGGATCACCCTCCAGAGCCTCTCCAAAATTATTGGCATCAAGAAAGTTTCACATTTAACCATAAATTCTAAATATAATCATAAAATTCTAGAACTAAAGAACACCTTTAAAGATAATCTGGAAGCATTAATTATAAACTCTGCAATCATCTGTGAAATTTTTTTTTTTTGAGACAGAGTCTTGCTCTGTCGCCCAGGCTGGGGTGCAGTGGCCGGATCTCAGCTCACTGCAAGCTCCGCCTCCCGGGTTTAGACCATTCTCCTGCCTCAGCCTCCCGAGTAGCTGGGACTACAGGCGCCCGCCACCTCGCCCGGCTAGTTTTTTGTATTTTTTAGTAGAGACGGGGTTTCACCGTGTTAGCCAGGATGGTCTCGATCTCCTGACCTCGTGATCCGCCCGTCTCGGCCTCCCAAAGTGCTGGGATTACAGGCTTGAGCCACCGCGCCCGGCCGAAATTTTTAAAAAAGAAAGAAAACCAATGCCTTGGTCCCTATCTAGTGGTAAAACTCAGATATTATCTACAATATGGAAAAACTGGAATCGAACTAAAAAGTCCATCAGTAGGAAGAGGAATGCTTAAAGAAACTACCGTTCATCCATAATAAGAAACACTACAAGCAATTAAAAATAATGAGAGGTTAGGCTGGGGGCAGTGGCTCATGCCTGTAATCCCAGCACTTTGGGAAATCAAGGTGGACACATGGCTTGAGCCCAGGAGTTTGACACCAGCCTAGACAACAAGTCAAAACCCTGTCTCTACAAAAGATACAAAAATTAGCCAGGCATGGTGGCAAGTTATAACTATAGTCCCAGCTATTAGGGAGGCTGAGGTGGGAGGATGGCTTGAGCCTGTGAGGTCAAGGCTGCAATGGGCTGTGATCATGCCACTGCACTGCAGCCTGGGTGACGAAGTGAGACCTTGTCTCTCAAAAATAAAAAATAAAAAAACAGCTGGGCACCATGGCTCACGCCTATAATCCCAGCACTTTGGGAGGCTGAGGCAGGCAGATCACGAGGTCAGGAGTTCAAGACCAACCCACCCAACATGATGAAACCCCATCTCTACCAAAAATACAAAAAAAAATTAGCCAGGCATGGTGGCGGGCGCTTGAACCAGGGAGGCGGAGGTTGCAGTGAGCCAAGATTGTGCCACTGCACTCCAACCTGGGTGACAGACCTAGACTTCGTCTCAAAAATAATAATAAATAATAAACAAACCAAAAAAACTCCTATCTCTGCCCTAAATAATGATTGACCTTATAAAGAGGCACTTAATGTATTTTTCACTTGAAGTGCTTGGCAGCTATAGTCCCAGCTAATTAAGAGGCTGAGGTGGGAAGACTGCTTGAGACCAGCAGCTTAAAGCCATGGCAAGCTACGATCATACCACTGCACTCCAGCATGGGAATCGCTTTTTTTTTTTTTTTTTTTTTTTTGAGATGGAGTCTCACTCTTGTTGCCCAGGCTGGAGTGCAATGGAGCGATCTCGGCTCGCTGCAACCTCCGCCTCCTGGGTTCAAGTGATTCGCCTGCCTCAGCCTCCCGAGTAGCTGGGATTACAGGCATGCGCCACCAAACCCAGCTAATTTTGTATTTTTAGTAGAGACGGGGTTTCTCCATGTTGGTCAGGCTGGTCTCGAACTCCTGACCTCAGGTGATCCACCAGCCTTGGCCTCCCAAAGTGCTGGGATTATAGGTGTGAGCCACTGCGCCCAGCCTGGGAGTCTCTTAAAACAAACAAACAAAGATTATTCAGAAAAGTATTTCCCATGATGTTAAATTAAAAAACTGATTTATGAAAATATATATTTAAAATGTAAAGATAAATATAAAAAACAAAGAAAGTGCTTGGAAATCACTGATTTGCTGGGAACCAATAAAAGCCTCATCACCACATCACTAGGATCTATCTGTGTTCTCTAAAGTGAAAACAACTATCTTTGAACATCAACAGGATTAGAAATACTGTATATAAAATGCATAGTATAGTCCCCTGACATAGAAAATACTTAATAAGTGTTACTTGTTGTTTTTATTGTTTTGAAAAAATTCCATAGGTCTCCAGGACCCACAGACAAATGAGGAGTATGCTGCTTTGTAAACCAACTCTAGAGAAAATTATTTGTTTCAAGCCTAAATACCAGGGTTACAGACTTTGTAAGGAAGATGCTTACAAATAAATACACACACAAAAAAGAGAAAAATAAATTGTACCTAGCAGAAAAAGAAGTGACAGAAACATCACCAATTCCTTTCACTGCAGACATGACTTTGTCCAGGGCTTGGGTGTGGCTAACGTTGAATTCTACTCGGTGGTTTCCCTCTGTAGGGTAGTTGGGAGCTTTGGAAGGATGTATGGGCCTGGAGGTACAAGCTCCTAGAGAAAATATTGTGGGAAAATGGGAGTTTTGGGGGGTTAGAGGTTAACATTTAAAAGTAAGATAAACTATTATAGGCAAAATTTCTAAGAAATGACTTTTTTAAAAGATTCATTCTCATGCTTATATGACATACACACACATACATATATCCTTTAGATATACATCACCAGTCCCCTAGGGCTTTGGTATGGATGTACAAAATCAAATTATTTCAGAATTATTTTCCAAAAGATTCTTAAATCTCTGAAAAACTTGGACAAGAAAGACTGATTCATACATTTTCAGATAATACACAGAATGGTCTACTGTTTGGTAAATCTACCCATGTAAACCATCATTCAGGTTGCAAATGCTCATACTTTATTTGACCACATTAATCCAGATATCATAATAAAAGCTTCAGCCCAAAATGAGTAAACAAAAGACTTACTAAAGTAAAGCTAAAATCCATACATCATTCCCTAGGCATAAGTAAACATTCACTAAAAACATTCACTAAAACCCAGATGTCTATTTGCCTGATTTATCAATCAAGTGTATTCTGGAGAGACCTGAGCTTTCAATTCAACAAGCATTTTTCAAGTGCCTGGGTGACAGGCATTGTGCCACAAAAGTGAGGGATCACGAAGTTCAGCCCAGTAAGGAAGACTTCTGCTCTCCTAACTCCGTAAGAATAAAAAATGTTTCCTTTTTCAAATGCAATTTAACTGCCAAATTTCAGCAACATTATTTTAAATTTATTATACAAAAATGGAATCATACCCTCCCCAACCCTAAAGCAGTTAAAACTTTACTGGACAGACATTCTAAGGTTTCAAAGTATTTGCAGGGAAAATATCAAATATGAAAGAAGCTTCTCACCAAGCCCTTTAGCCAACCAGTTGTTGACGCCCTGGGGTGCGGCATCATAGGCTGTGTGAGGAGAGTAGATACCGACTCTGTTCTCCAGAGCCTGGATCACCAGGCGCTCCTTCCAGGTGTTCCAGGTTATGCGCTTCATGGGTCGGAAGATAGGCGGATGGTAGGAGAGAATGAGGTCTGCCTTCTTTTGCAGCCCCTCCTCCATCACTTCCTCAGTCAGGTCATTGGTCAGGAAGAGCGTATTTACAGTATGTGGTGGGCTTGGTTCCACCAGTAATCCAACATTGTCCCAACTCTCAGCAAAGGAGAGGGATGCAAAGTCATTCAAGGAAGAAAGGAGAGCCTTCAAATCCATGAAGGAACGGGAAGAACTGCAGATCAGAGAATCTACAAACCGGACTGTCGTGGGGACCGGGCGTACACAAGATGACAACATACAGAAATCAGGTAAAGTTCAAGTTTCTGAAGTCAAAACAAAGAAAATGGTACACAGGTACACTTTAGGCCTGGATCTTTGAGGCATCAAAGCATATGGGCAAAAGAACTGTCATCATAGAGATCTGGGTTCAAATAGTGGCTCTGCCACTTACCAGCACATAGTAACTTAGGTAAACCATTTAACCTCTCCAATCTTGTTTTCTCACCTACGAAATGGAGATACTATAGCCCACCTCACAGGCCATCCAGAGGAGCAAATGAATTATGTAACCTAGCAAAGTCTGGTACATAATACACAAACGTCCATCCCATCTCCTGCCTCACACACCCTTGTTCTTATTCTCCCTACCCTTGCTTCAACCAACCTCCTCCCTAATCCATTTCTCTAAATATTATCCTTCCTTTTCCCAAACCCCCTTCAACTTCTTAAATAAAACTTTTCTTGACCTCCCTTTTCAGCATCCTTCCCAAGGCTCCCAACCCCTCAGTATTCTCATTATTGAGTGTGCCCATTATGCTAAAGCTACTATGGAATAGGAACTATCTTTAATAAATCTCAGTATCGCTAATATAAGCCAGCACTAACTGCTTACTGCATAGAATGACACTGCTCACCTCCCCTGATTGCAACAGAATTTGGAGTTGGGGTGGTATATACTGACATTACAATGTGCTTTACCAAAAAACAGAATAATGTGGCGGGGCGCCTGTAATCCCAGCACTTTGGGAGGCCGAGGCAGGAGGATCACGAGATCAAGAGATAAAGACCATCCTGGCCAACATGGTGAAACCCCGTCTCTACTAAAAATACAAAAATTAGCTGGGCATGGTGGCGTGCACCTGTAGTACCAGCTACTTGGGAGGCTGAGGCAGGAGAATCGCTTGAACCGGGGAGGTGGAGGTTGCAGTGAGCCAAGATCGTGCCACAGTACTATGGCCTGGGCAACAGGGTGAGACTCCGTCTCAAAAAAAAAAGAATGTTTAAAATGTCAAGTGCTTTATCAGAATCAAAAATCAAGGAATACATAGGCAGGTCACTCTACAAATGGGCAGGGTCAAGGCAGAAGAAGGGAGAAGCCACTGCCCCTTAAGCAACATTTGCTACACAAAGGCCAGGCTCAAGAGGTGGAAGAGGTTAAGGTATAGGGTACTTTTCCCATGTAGCCTGTAAGCCTTCTAAATATCTACATCCAACAAGGAACTGAAAAGGTTGGCAAAAGAGGAAAGGTGGGAGGGCAATGGAAAGGTAGAAAAAAACTGCTGGCTCCAAAATATGCACAATTAGTAAATGTTTAATCAAATAACCACAAAAGATAATGCTGTCAACCCCATTCTTAAACCTACCACTTATAAACTGTTTGAAGAAAAGCATTTCATAGTATGCACAATAAGAAAGCATAGCCAACTGTAAATTTGATGAAATATCCACAAGCCAATTATTCCAAAAGCAATTTTTCAACGTTTCTATTTAATGAGATGAGGATGCTTATTTAATACATTATTTGAAGGGATACGGGGTCTCCAAAAACCACTCGAGGTCTTGTAAGTTTGTTTTTGTTTTCTTTTTGAGACAGGGTTTCACTAGTTGACTAGGCTGCAGTGCAGGGGCGTGATCTCTGCTCACTGCAGCCTCGACTTCCTGAGCTCAAGCAGATCCTCCCACCTCAGCCTCCTGAGTAGCTCGGACTACTGGCGCGGAACACCACACCTGGCTAATTTTTGTATTTTTAGTAGAGATAGAGATTCACGATGTTGCCCAGGCTGGTCTCAAACTCCTGCACTCAAGTGATCCACCTGCCTCGGCCTCCAAGAGTGCTGGGATTACAGGCGTGAGTCACCACGTCCGGCCTTGGAAGATCTTCTAATGGTCCTCATAGTACTCCGTTCTCCAGCATCTTCTACATCTGGCAAGCTCGAAAGTGAAACCCTAGTGGGCCACCATTCAGGTTTTGAGTTATTTACTGCAACAGATGAGGAAACTGCGAGGCTACATGGCCACAGTCAACAACGACAACAGGAGGCAGGATAGTATGGTGGTTAAGAGCACCGACTCTGAAGCCAGTCTGAATCCGAGAGCCAGAGCTGTGCAACAACAGGTAAATGACTTACCTATGCATTTTCCTCCTAAAAGGAAGTAGTGCCCAGGCCACAATATCGCGAGATTTATATGTAAAGCTGCAAACAGCTCCTGTCCTAAAGTAAGCACTGTTTACTACTAAGTAGCATCAGTAGGGCCCCTTTGCAAGTTGCAAACCGCTCCCTCAACGTTACCTCATCTATGCCTCATTTCAGCGCCACTTCAGGCCTTTTCCAGGGCAGTGAAAAACCACGAGACACAGCCAGTAAGTCTGAGTCAGGACCCCTGACCCACTAGTGCGCTGTGCTCTCGTGCGGCAGGGCAGTTTTCTGACCCAACCTCTTCTGCTCTGCTCTGCAGCACCAACACAACAATCACAGCCGACCCCAACCGGCACCTACCGCGTAGGTCACAACTACACTCGCGGGTTTTTAAATCGCCCACTACTCACCAGTCCCGGAAACTTCGCTGCGTCACTTCCGGTCCTGCGTCGGCGCTCCGGGCGCTGTGGCAATGGGCTCCCCGTAGCGAGAGAGCTGGGCGGAAGTGGTCCTTTCCGTTTGGCAGCCGAGTGTAAAGTGTTGCTTGAGGTTGGCCAGGTAGTTCTCGCCTTACATTTCTCTTCCCCGTGCATTAGTAGAGCTCCGTTTCACTTTCAAATTTCCAGTTGGGGATAAATTACATTGTCGTTTTGGTTTGAGATAGGAAGGAGAGGGGAAGGAGGAGGTGAGGCGGTAAGGGGCGTTTTCTCTCTTGGGTCCCGCGCCCAACTTCCGCCGGCCCAAAGAAACTATGATTTTGAACTAACAGACCTATGCTGGCATCTGCGATTACATTTTTCCTGTTTTAACAACGGCTGTGCCGGGCGCGGTGGCTCACGCCTGTAATCCCAGCACTTTGGGAGGCTGAGGCGGGCGGATCACAAGGTCAGGAGATCGAGACCACGGTGAAACCCCGTCTCTACTAAAAAATACAAAAAATTAGCCGGGCGCTGTCGCGGGCGCCTGTAGTCCCAGCTACTCGGGAGGCTGAGGCAGGAGAATGGCGTGAACCCGGGAGGCGGAGCTTGCAGTGAGCCGAGATCGTGCCACAGTGCACTACAGCCTGGCGACAGAGCGAGAGTCCGTCTCAAAATGAAAAAAAAAAAAAAAAAAAGAAGAAGTTCATAGTATATTAGTGATAAGTGCTGTGGGAGAAGGAAATAGGAATGTCCTAGGGCTAAAGGGCTAACGCAGTTTTATGTAGGATTATCAGGTCAGTTAAACTTGACATTTAACCAGAAATGTGGAGGTGAGGAAATCAGCCGTAGAGATGTTCGAGTGTAAGAATTCCAGGCAAAAGGGACACCCAATGCCTAGACCCTAAGAGTATCTGGGTTATTGGGGGACTTGCAATGAGGCTCTTGAAGAAGAGCAAGCAGGGCAAGTAGGAGATGGGGAGGCTTGAATCGGGTAGGATCTCTCGTCATTACTTCTGTAGCTGGGTTTTTATTACGTAGAGGTTGCCATTAGAGTATTTTTTTATTTTTATTTTTTGTTTTTTTGACGGAGTCTCGCTCTGTCACCCAGACTGGAGTGCAGTGGCACAATCTTGGCTCACTGCAGCCTCCGCCTCCCGGGTTCAAGTGATTCTCCTGCCTCAGCCTCCCGAGTATCTGGGACTACAGGCGTGTGCCACCACACCTGGCTAATTTTTGTGTTTTTAGTAGAGATGGGGTTTCGCTATGTTGGCCAGGCTGGTATCGAACTCCTGACCTCAGGTGATCCACCCGCCTCGGCCTCCCAAAGTGTTAGAATTATAGGCGTGAGCCACCGCGCCCGGCGAGGATTTTTATTTAAAATGTGCAGTAAAGATGAGCGTGTGTGAGTTAAGACAGAAAAATGAGCCTAATTCTTTTTTTCTTTTGGGACTAGAGACTTATTTTTAAACTGGCTGTAAGGCTCTGAGAAATTACGTAGTCCTTCCTGAAACCACTAAGAGGAAAAATGGTAAGTTTTGAACAATTTTTATGAAATGTCTTTCATTGTAAGTAATTTTTAGAAATTCAGTCAAGGGCAATAAAAGTGCATGGAAATTGCAGTGGCAAGATAGAGAAATTGTATACCACTATTCCACTTAATATGGAATAATTCTTTTAAAAAATACACAAAATTACTTTAAAATTCTTTAATGTTGTCACTTAAAATGCACAGAATTTAGTTTCGCTCTTGTTGCCCAGGCTGGAGTGCAGTGGCGTAATCTCGGCTCACTGCAGCCTCTGCCCCCTGGGTTAAAGTGATTCTCCTGCCTCAGCCTCCCGAGTAGCTGAGATTACAGGCACCTGCCAGCACGCCCAGCTAATTTTTTGTATTTTTAGTAGAGACAGGGTTTCGCCATGTTGGGCAAGCTGGTCTCGAACTCCTGACCTCAAATGATCTGCCCGCCTTGGCCTCCCAAAGTGTTGGGATTACAGGCGTGAGCCACCACGCCCGGCCAGAATTTACCTTTTATGGAGAAAGGCTGATTACAAGATAGATAGAAATGGAAAGGGAGAGTTGAAGGAGCAGAAGAGAATAGACAGGTCTGACAATTTTAATTGGATTATTTTGCTCTAGATCTAAAGTGGGCAACTAAGCTGGGCGCAGTGGCTCACACCTGTGATCCCAGCACTTTGGGAGGCTGAGGTGAGATGATTGCTTGATCCCAGGAGTTCAACACCAGTTTGAGCAACATAGTGAGAACCCTGTCTCTACTTTAAAAAAATAAAATAAAGTGGGCAACTAGAACCTGAAGTAGAAAAAGCAATGAGAATAGTGCCCTGCTTCTCCCTCACACATCTTTAACCTGGTCATATTCTCTAACTGCTACATACTATTTAAGAAGAAGAAGGCTGGGCGCAGTGGCTCACACCTGTAATCCCAGCACTTTGGGAGGCCTAGGCAGGTTGATCACTTGAGGTCAGAAGTTCAAGACCAGCCTGACCAACATGGTGAAACCCTGTCTCTACTAAAAATACAAAAATTAGCTGGGTGTTGTGGCATATGCCAGTAATCCCAGCTACTTGGGAGGCTGAGGCAAGAGAATTGCTTGAACCCAGGAGGTAGAAATTGTAATGAGCAGAGATCACACCACTGCACTCCAGCGTGGGCAACAGAGCAAGACTCCATCTCAAAAAAAAAAAAAAAAAATGGAGAAATGGAAAAGGAACCCTCCAAATTGTTTTCTCCCTCTCTGGAATACAGTATTATATCAAGGGGTATACAGGTTACAGAAAAACAGGTACAACAAAAACAAAAAGCAAGCAAGAAAGCACTGTGGTTATCTCTGAGCATTTAGGATTTTAGAAACACTGACACTTGTTATATTTTTGTTAGTCGAGAAAGGAATTATTTTTTAACCTTATTTCTCAGAATTAAATTACCTAAGGAAAATGGTGGAAATTATGTTTTGAAAGATCATTTTCTCATCATTTTTCTATAAATAAGGATGTTGGTGAATTGCCATGTACATCAATAATACATAACAATTGTTTTTATTTTTCTTGATAAAATTCAAAGTTAAAATCTTTCCATCAAAATATTTACTTCCAAATTTTTATCATGGATACTACTTAACCCTAACATTTATATTCTGGAGTTTTTTCTCTATGTTGAGATCAATTTTGAGGAAAAAATACAACTTAGCTCTAAGAGCTGCTTTGTGGACGAGTCATCTCTGAAGCAGTATTTCTGTCTGTTTTTTTTCAGATTATCATCTTGAATATCCACATAGGGAAATAAACAATGCATAAAGTCACCTAAAGAAATTTCATTTGTTCTCACATTTTCTCTCCTTTTTAGTCTGTGACACTGCATACAGATGTAGGTGATATTAAAATTGAAGTCTTCTGTGAGAGGACACCCAAAACATGTGAGGTAAGTACCATTTACATATTCAACTTCAGTTAATACAACAAGATAACCACTTTGGAATTGAATAATCTAACCTAAATAACAACAACAAAACTTTCTGTAAAACCATTGTTAAGGAAAACCAGCCATCATAACTTCTGGCCTGATTTCCACTTGTTTGTTCAATGTCAAATGTGGATCAAAGAGAAGGTAGATAATTTTTCAGTAACGATAGAGTAGCCAGTATCTTTTTCTTTTGACTGATTTTCCTCGGGAAACATAATCATTAGGACATTATATTACTTTTTTTCTTTCTTTTATTTTTTATTTATTTATTTTTTTTTGAGACAAAGTCTTGCTGTGTCCCCCAGGCTGGAGTACAATGGTGCGATCTCGGCTCACTGCAACCTCCGCCTCCCGGGTTCAAGCAATTCTTCTGCCTCAGCCTCCCAAGTAAGTGGGATTACAGGCGTGCACCACCATGCCTGGCTAATTTTTGTATTTTTAGTAGAGACAGGATTTCACCATGTTGGCCAGGCTGGTCTCAAACTTCTGACCTCAGGTGATCCATGCACCTCAGCCTCCTAAAGTGCTGGGATTACAGGCATGAGCCACCGCACCCGGCCTTTTTTCTATTTTTTCAAGACAGAGTCTTGCTCTGTCGCCCAGGCTGGAGTACAGTGGCATGATCTTGGCTCACTGCAACCTCCGCCTCTGGAGTTCAAACAATTCTCCTGCCTCAGCCTCCCAAGTACCTGGGATTACAGGCACCCACCACCATGCCCAGCTAATTTTTGTATTTTTTTAGTAGAGACGGGGTTTCACCATGTTGACCAGACTGGTCTCAAACTTCTGACCTCAGGTAATCTGCCTGCCTCAGCCTCCCAAAAGTGCTGGGATTATAGGCATGAGCCTCTGTGCCCGGCAGAATATTATATTAAAGAATTGTTGTGTATATATATATTTTTTGAGACAGGGTCTTGCTGTGTCTCCCAGACTGGAATGCAGTGGTGCAATCACGGCTCATTGCAGCCTCAACCTCCTGGTCTCAAGCAATCCTCCCACCTTGGCCTCCCAAGTAGATAGGACTACAGGTGTGTGCCACCATGCCAGGCTAATTTTTTTTAATTTTTTATAGAGATGAGGTCTCACTATGTTGCCCAAGCTAGTCTCGAACTCCTTATCTCCAGCCATCCTCCCCACCTCAGCTTCCTGAAGCGTTGGGCTTACAGGCGTGAGCCACCATGCCTAACCTGTTCTATACATTATTTTGCCTGTTTGTTTATATTTATTTATTTATTTATTTTTGAGACAGAGTTCTGCTCTTGTTGCCCAGGCTGGAGTGCAGTGGCACAGTCTCGGGTCACTGCAACCTCTGCCTCCCAGGTCCAAGGGATTCTCCTGCCTCATCCTCCTGAGTAGCTGGGACTATAGGTGCCAGCCACCATGCCCGGCTAATTTTGTATTTTTAGTAGCAATGGGGTTTCACCATGTTGATCAGGCTGGTCTCAAACTCCTGAACTCAGGTGATCCACCCGTCTTGGCTGCCCAAAGTGCTGGGTTTACAGGCATGAGCCACCGCGCCCGGCCTGTTTCACCTGTTTAAATGACAAGGATGGAAGGAAGAAGAGTCACCTGTATATATTCATTTATTCAACGATTATTTATGGCTGGGCATGGTGGCTCACATCTATAATTTCAGCACTTCGGGAGGCTGAGGTAAGCTCAGAAGTTCTAGACTTACCTAGGCAACACAGTGAGACCCCCATCTCTACAAAAAAATACAAAAATTAGCCAGGTATGGTGGTATGAGCCTGTTATCCCAGCTACAAGGGAGGCCAAGGTGGGAGGATTGCTTAAGCCTAGGAGGTCAAGGCTATAGTGAGCTCTGATCACATGGCTACACTCCAGCCTACGTGACAGAGCAAGACCCTGTCTCAAAACAAAACAAAAAAACCATTATTTGTG